GCCATTTAAATAAGAAACCTTATTTAAAATGTATAAAGATACTTGGCTGAAATACACTGTAAAGTCAATACGTAGCAGAAAGAAACGACCCACTGCAGTAATTCCACGATTTAAAAGATTCACCTGCAATGATGCAATGGTAGCCACAGCTCACAGCATTCAGAAGGTGAGGAAGATCGAAAGGGAGATACAGCAGATAAGAATACTGAACCCTTAAAATGAAATCTCTTTAAGAGGTATATCTGAAGAATTCATATTTTGTAATGTCAAGATGTTCGCCAGATCTCTTGCTTCAGCAGCTATTATGACTACATCTGTAACAGGCTAATAGCCATTTTTGGCTGAATTTACACTCGTTAGTCATTTGCAGATACCTTTGTAAAAGCTGGAAAAATTAATTTACATGTATACCTTAAAATCAGAAACGATTTATACACACACAAAACCTATACAGGAATGGCATTTGAAAATTAAGTTTGCCGTTGGTGCCACAAAAAGGACTTTACCAATGAAATGTAAAAAGTAACAGTTCCAACTAACAACTATGAGAGATTTAAAAAACCTACTTTGTAAAAGTTTCTATGCTCTAGATTAAATAAACACATGCACTGTACCAAAAGGACATTCAGCTTTCTTCTAGAAGAGCAACTTTTTAGAACGTATTGAGGGGCGCCCAAAATTAATTCCAGCTTTAACATTCTCAGACCTCTGCAGAAATAACTCCCAGAAAACTTACTTAGCGGGTGATAAAAGGATCTTTTTATGAGTCTACTTTTAAACATCTGAAAACATCAGGCAGTTGTTTCAGCCAAGTCTCCAGCCCTCACCAAAGAGACCCCTTCATCACCGAGCCCCAGCCTTGGGATTTTTCTTCTTATCGTGGGCTAGTTCTTGCTCTGAAGTGTTGGTACAGCACTTATTCGCCTTGTGGTCTTCTCAGAAATTCCCAGTCCTCCCACCCAATCCCAGTGTATCCCTGCAGTCTGCATTTGAAATACACCACTGTATCAATACACAAAGTCTTCTGGAAACCTACATATGATGTACTGCAATGTTTGTTTGTTTCTCCACAGCAAAGTGAGAAGAAAATTTCAGAAAAAAGCGTGCCTTACAGCTTGTTCACAGGTCTGTGGAAATATCCTACCTATCCTAGGGATATTCAAATCTCAAATGCTTCAATGTTCCAAGCCTTCGCGGAACAAAAAATTATTTAAACTGACATTTTCCTTATTGTTTTTACCCCTTCCACAAATATTGGGACCCATCATTTAGCAGAATACTACCATTTCCAACTCTGTTATGTTCACCTTTCAGTGATTTTATGCACACTGAGGTGACAGGCCTAGGTCTGTAAGTAAAGGACAGCCTATCGGATATACCGATTACTCAAATACAATAACCACATTCAATCACTTATCCACCGCCACCATCAAAGGTTCTGTAGAAATGTAACTGTTGCAAAAGAAGCCTTGGAAGACTCATTTACTTGCAAAAAGCATTCCATGAATGAAAAAATGCACATTATGAAACAAAATCAAAGAAAGGTCACCTTCCCATCCAGCCTGGTAATGCAATGTAGGAATATACAGACTATGCTTTCACATACAAAGTGACACGACTCTGAAATTAATTTGTACATTGCAGCTCTCTCAAGAACAGAGTTTTAAGTGGTAACTAAACTGGTGAGCAAAGAAATGCGAAGACTGAGGACCCATTAACAATGTACGTTTCACACAAGAAAGTGGAATAGCATTTAGGTGACCATATCTTCCCCAACAGACTAAACAAGCTTTAAATAAATCCCGAAACTGAGTGTTAAACCCTTCCCAAACTGACCACAGAACTCTTATTGCTCAGGATATATGCCATCTTTTTAACATGACACCACAAAACTTATTTTATCCCCAAATACTCCTAATTAAATCCGATAAGGGATTTATTCTAATTGACACTTCCCTTAAGTTCCAAAAAGACTCCCCCTAATCAATAAGCAATACTGATCAGTTCAAGGATCAGAGCAAGTGAACGCTGAAGCCTGGAGGCCTGCTAAGGTCATGGTCAAGCATTAACAGAAGAGCAAACATTCATATATGGATAACTGCAGAGCAATAAAACTGAATTAAAAAGCTGCCCCTAATAAACCATCTTGCAATTTCTAACATGCTTCCTGTATTTGATTGCCTTCATTGCCAGCTATGTACCACCAGCAATGAATCAAGATAAGGTTTGCAGCTCAGCTTTAGTTTATTTCAATAACGTAACTTGTACTTCAATTAAACACCTTCATGTCAAAAACGACCTGGATGATAAGGGCATGACTGACGACCAGAGAAGTCAGGGATCTCCAAGCCAACTTATTTCAGTTGTGACCCCATTTAGACTGCTTAATCTCAAGGTGGCTTTTCACCCAGACCTTGGTTGATTAACCGACCCCCAGGAAAAACAGGATCACGATCACTGGGCACCAGTCCCTTAGTTCTACAGTCCCTCTTCTTGAGGCTTTGACAGTGGAATGCACATACTGTGAGCTTCCAATGTGAGCTGCTCCAAGAACAAGGTTTTGAATTACTAGGATCACACATGAGGCTCAGCATGTGCCTGCCTTCAATCTCACACACTAGAGCCCAGGGAAACTTTAAAACAGCCCAGTGTAAGCTCTGGTTTGAACACTGCTGCACCTCTGGTCTGCAGATTTCTGTGCGAGACAGGAAAGAACGCAGTCACTGGCCTACCTCTATTAACACTGCACGCGTATACTTCAGGATAGGAGAATGATTGCAGTGTGGAAAAAAACAAAACAAAAAAGAGTCACCTCCAAACAATCACAACATGCTTTCTCAACAGCGACATTGCATTCACTCACACAACCACAACTCCAAGGCCCACCAGCAATTTCTTTCAGTTAATTTCATTTTAGGAATAAGAAGTTGGATTTTTTGTATATAGCGTAGATAACTGTAACACTTTTCAGTCATTCAGGGCCTCGGTGGTGGTGGTGGTTGGGGTAAACCAGGTTTAGCTAACTATGCTAACACTGCTACCGCCCATGCAACACATTCACAACTCCAGAGATAGGATGCCTGGAACAGTCTTCCATAGAGGGGGGAGAAAGAAAAACCGAAGTCGCCTTTTGTCGACTTTAAGAACATTTTACGTGATTGATTGCGAGCGATTTTTCAGCAAATTAATTTTTAACATACACTGTAAACAGAACCGTGTGGCAACTAAAGTGCAACATAAAGACAAGATTATTCTCTAACCAGTCTGCCGTCGGCCACATTTCAAAATGTTTAAAATGGAAAGACGGCCTTCTCCAAGGAAAACAGAGAAGTACTTCTCAAACAAGCAAGACTATATACTGAACTGAAGTTTCATCCTCGGTCCCAAACGGTCGCTGAAGTGAGGGTTGAAATGAAAAAAAAAAAACGATACCTGCTTTCCATACAATAATACACTCCCTTTAACCCCCGACACAAAAACATTTCTTAAATGCGACTTGTGGAGAAAGTGCTGCTCATCACCGACGACAAACTAGTCTCATAGAATGTAAGCAAGCAGGTTAAGTAAGCTGAAAGACAACTAAAAAGACAAAAATCAAATGGATAAGTTTAAGCAAAAAATAAAATAAACAGTACAACAGAATCTTCCATTTACATTTTGAAATTCAGCTACTCTTTATTAGCCCTAACTTTCATTAAAGGGTAATTAAAATTACACTGAACAGTTTTATAATTTCTGGAAAACCCGGGATCTCCAGGCTGTACAAAGGTTTTTTAAAAAAGGAATGCAGATGACAACGATGTTTCCTTTTTACATAGGTGCCCAGTAAACACACATTTTGTGCAATCCAACACACTTTGATTTTAAAACTAAAAAGTTGTCTCTGACAGCATAGGTCACCTCTACAGGGAGGTTCAATGAAGTCTGGAGGTGGAAGACGTTGGAAACATATTTTAATAAAACAAAATAATTCAATTTATATCTTAGCCTCCTGGTCAAACCTGAAGTTCAAAAGCATATTTCACCAAATGAGGTTTTGCACAAATCCTTACCACCTTCAAAACCCCAGCATCCTTTTGGTTAAAATGACACAATGGGTAACACTGTTAAATTCACAAAACTATGCTGTTTTCTTAGAAACCCAATTCAAGGCAGTATTCTTCAAAATGCAGCCAAAATAAAGTTCACTGTACTATTTTCTCCGGTTACCTATTTTCATAATAAGTTTGAAAGTTTATAATTCAACAGCTAATGGTGGTATTCAAAAATTACGAGGGTTCAATTAAGGAAAACATCCTTCATTAATGATAGTAAAATATAACTGTGCACTTTTAAACTGCCCCTCTGGCATTAACGTTTGAACCCCAAAAATTGCCAAGGGTCTGTCTAAAAAAAATATTTTAAACATTATGCCCCAAACCGGTGTGATATTCTAATAACGGCGGACAATTTAAAGATCACATTCTTAAAAAAATAAAAACTGAAAATAAATGTAATTAAATACCCCTAATATTGCACTGTGATAAAGAAAAAGAAAAAAAAAGACGCGTTCATTCCTACAAACCGTTCCTAAGAAGATCCCCATACCTCCATATCACGGCGATCTGCACTTTGTGTTCTCGGCACTGAGAGACTAAGCACAGAAAAAGAAAATGGCGCAGAGACTAAGTCCTCAACCCCCAAACCCCAACTTTCGGCACCAAAATACGCCCTTATAAGCCCCTTCCAGAAGCAATCGGGGGACATTTTGGGAAAAACAATATCCATCCCTATCAGAATCCGGGTTCATCTGGAAAAACGGAGCATTTTAAGTGTGGTTTATAAGCCCTCCATTTGAACAATAGGAGCTTGAGAGTAAAGGAGAAGGGACTTAGTCTCTGGGACGCCATTTCTGTCCTTAAAAAACTAACTACAGAATACAGGCTCATCACTAACGGGAGTAAAATATAGAAAATGAGCAAGTATAATTACATAACATTTGGTGGGGACACAATACTTACCATTAACTCGAGATCCCGTGTCGATCTGAAAAAAAATATTTATAGATGTCAAGCTATTATTAAAAATATATGTACAGTAAGTTTCAACTAAGGTTATGCGAAAATGGCTTTTCATAGATTGTTCTAGCACAAAAATGGCTTTAAACTTCTTATAAAGTTATTAGTTAACCACCAACACCTCCTAAAACCAACGTACTCTCTGATCGCGGACACGAAGCAATTTTGTTCAATTTTCTACCATCAATTTTCACTAAATTACAGCTTAAGGTTACGATTTAAACCTTATCTGTCAAAGCCGAGGTCTACTGATCATGACACAACATATTTCATGTAACGTTACCTGGGAGTCGTTGTGAACTTGATCCCCACTCATTTCCTGGTTCCTTATTTTAAAATTAAAGTATGAAATGTCTTGAGAGCAATTGCCGGCGAGGAGCAGTAAGCAGAATGGAGAAAGAAACAGTTGTGTAACAGACTAAGTCCCACTTTTTATTCACTGCGCATGCTCAGCTCGTTTAAATGGGTAAAAAAAAATGCGTCTCGGCCTACTGGCTCCTCCCCATTTTGCGTGCACACACCAGCACTGCTAGTGCGAGCGTGGGGAGCCGCTAGCCATGTGGCAATGAAGATCTCCGCGGCCGATGTGTGAATGTGCCGTGCCCCTGCGCCAGCTCCAAGAAATACACACACGTGGACGCACCTAGGAAACGACTCGTGGGGTTTCACCAGCGATGTAACCCCCCACGTCACAAAAGCGAGCGCACGGCAGGAGCTGCGCGTCACGTTGGTAGATATTGTACCGAGTATCGCTATTATTAAAAACGGGAGTTGTTAAGACCGACCAGTTGTTGTTGTTTTTTTTTTTCCCGCGTGTCACTGTGTTGATTGAAATATCCTTTTCGTTGCAGTTGCCAAACTGATTTTCTTTAGACAATAGTACAAATAACTTACTCTGGATTATTTTCTAACAAAGGCATGTTAGAGAGACATGTACATTAGTCATAGCACGCTTGTTTTTAAAGAGTTTGAAGGGTTATACTCTGCCAGGGTACACCCCTACTCTTTTCGAGAAACTACCTGGGATTTTTAATGACCGCAGAGAGTCAGGACGTCGGTTTTTTTTACGTCTCATCCGATGCCTTTTTGCAGTAGTTTCCCCATCACTATGCTTGGCATTGTGTCCCTAATTGTGAAGAGTGTTTGTATCCGGTTGAATCGATTTGGTGGAGCAATACTGTTCTGATGTGATTTCAAGGTAGGTTTCCAGTAGCTCTGATGCTTTTCTGTTTCCTTGTTTCTAGTTCTCATCATGGGTGCATAATCAAAGCTGCATGAGCCAAATAACATTGAATGCCAGCAAAGGCCATATTATCAAATACAGGCTCTGTTTACTCTTCATAAGATGTAAAATCCCGTACTTGAGAGATAAACAAAGGCTCTGTTCTTTTGCCCCTGAATAAAGTGAGCATGCAAGAGCTTCTGAAATTAAAACCAGATACCATGATAAACAGAAGCCACAGTGTTACATCATAGCTTCCTTTCTGCTGTTGCAAGTCACCTGGGCTGTAATGATTGAGGTCATGTTTTTCAGAATTTCTCAAAAACACAGTTCCTTTTTTAAACCTGAAATTCCACTGACACAACAATATTGCCTTCCTCTCTTTAATTGTTGTCAAAACACAGTTGCACATTAGAGATTCACTGCTATCACAACAATAGGACTTGGTTTTACTATGACAAACACAGGTGACATTAGCAGCAAGAAAAAGACAGTATAAATACAAGATATAACATGCCTTCCAGTAGTTTCAAGACAGAACACCAGGCCACTTTTGAGAGGAAAAGATCAAGGAAATCATGAATGTTGCACATTCCATGTCAGATTTGACAGGTTAACCTGTCAAGGACAGACAAAACTTTATAAAAATAGCATATAATTAAAGGTGTTTATTTTATCTACACTTTGAATAACAACTTGTGGTAAGCCTCGTGTTGCCCAGTGTAAAATGAGAAGTTCAAGTGAAGTCATTCATGGTTTATTCTGGGATGATCTATAATTGTGAATTTTATGTACTCTCGTGACTCCTGTAACAGTCAACTGGACACATAAAAGATCACAGTTTGAAAATTAACACCCTGACATCTGGAAAAAAAAATGTAATAACAACATTCAATTTTTTCTTTTATTCCATCCATCATTTAAATACTACAATACAGGGTAGAGGAGGAGCCAGACCATATCCCAGCAAGCTTTCTTCTTTTCTTTCTAATATTTAATATATTAATTGTCATGTACACATGCAAACACTTTGCCTGCAGATCTTAGTGGCGATCTTTGTGAATTCATAAACCGGTTCGGTTGAAATGGTTCAGATAATCATCAGGTTCTCCCTTCTTCACTCTGATCTACTTGTGCGATGGCATTCCAAAGCAGTGGATCAGATAGAAAAAAAAACAGAGAAAGCAACAAAGTGATGAACTCTTATCAAACAGCCCTTCGCCCATCCTTCCATCCTTTCATTTTCAAGATGGGACACACCATCGCAGGACAAACACAGACAGGAACACACACTCACACCCGGGTCAGTTTTCCCAGAAGTCCGTTAACCTGTCAGTATGTCTTCATACTCCGGGTGGAAACAGGAGCACCTGGAGGAAACCCAGATCAACGCGAGGAGAACACACAATCTTCATACAGCAACCCAGTGGCTCTGTGCTGCAAGGCAGAATGCTAACCAATGCGCCTTCATGCTCCCCTTTATAATTAAGCAAGTGAATTAATTTATCTCAGAACGTAAGCAATGCAAGATATCTGATTGACAGTGAGACTAAGATAAATGAGGTCCAAAGAGAAGCTGGAAGCTGTTAAAAGTTCTTAAAAAACAGAATACACCATCAGTCAGTGGCACACCCAGGAATAATGGAATAATCTCAGCACCAACTGAGCATATACCAGCAAACAGCTTGCATGTCACAGCTTGCATTCTCAAACGCAATGCACAAACTGGACCTGGGAGTGAGGAGTGCTCCCCAGTAGATGTAATCATCTATTATAATTCACAGTAAACAAATGTTTATCGATAGGTTTATCCTTATTTTGTGATGCGAAAGATGATCATCTACAATGTTATTTTTTTAAACATTTGGAGTTTATTAGTGTCATTAGGCAGAAAACAAACACAAATCTAAAAAGCCCATCTTACAATACCTTGTGGGTTCAAATCCCATATGGGACACGGTGAAATTCACAAATATTCTCTCCGAAACCTGTCTATAGTGTTTATAAGCAAAATTGAAGAATAAGAATATAAGAGTTTAAAAAGTCATCAAAAGCATTAACAAAAATTGCAATTTGTTTTCCAACAAAGATACTTTCATACACTATTCTAATAACTAAATTAACATTTTGAGAAATTTGCAACTGCAGCTTTTGGTTTGATACCTCTAGATTTTAACCTTCTATTACAGTGTATATAGCCAAGGAAACGTATGTGTGTGTGCATTCATATGTACAGTGTTAGATATATATACACAGGAGCTCAGAGTGCTTCTTCCACTGCATAGTTGCTTTGCAGTGAAAAAAGGCAACTGCTGGAGGTGAAAAGCATACAGTGAGAGGTGCAGTGTATTGAAGAGCTCGTTTTAAGCTGTTCCTTTCAGTCCAGTTTGGTCCAAAGGAGGAAGCCCTAAGGCGTCAGCTCTTTGACATTCTACTGGTGCAGCAGGAATGGCTCGGGAACCAACCAACAAGGGCATTAAGCTTGCATGAAGTGGTAGCAGATGAGTGTGTATGCGAAAAAGGCCTATACTAAAAATTACAAGGTGAGTAATTCCCAGATGCACTTTTTGATGTCCTCTTGCAGACATGCAATGCAGGCATACACATTTGCAAACTGTCACAGGTGCAGATTGACAGCATGCATTTATCAAAACAAAGCTTTTCATTGATTTATTAGATGTAACAAATGCCCTTTTACACAAAGAAGTGGTATCCAAGATGTTCTACAGAATTGGCTTAAGATAAATGGGTGTTAACATTCATATCTGCCTGTGTATGTATTTAAAAACCATTTATGGCCTGAAAGGACTTTAAAACATCACTAAAAGAAATCTATAAACTCTGAATCTGGGCTTCTGGCATGGCAGCACTGCAGAGTCATATCAAAATACATTAGCCTGCAGAATCCAGGTGGACACTGGCCAGAGTTCATCTTCCAACATGCCAGATGTGAATTGTGTGCCAGTAAAATAAATGAATCTCGACCACATTCAAGGTGCACACTCCGCAAAGTTTTTCTTTGCATGAATGAAAAAGCATTGCTTTTTTAATTTCACCACACGGCTGTTTTTTCATTGAACGCTTTGGTTCTTTTTTCCAGCTGAATCATTAGTCAGTGACGTGTCTCACTCTTCCTTGAAAAATGTATAAAATGGATCATTTTATGCCTATAATAAAACACTACATGCACACCTTAAATAAATCCATCATCCAATAACCAAACAACATCAGGACATTACGCATTGCTGCACACATGGCTTATGGACCTCTAGCTCCTGTTGCCTGTAAATATTACTCTATTATATTTTTGACTTTTTTTTCCCATCAAAAGAAAAATCTCTAATTGTTTTGCAAAGAGCAATTCTTACTTTATGCACAAAAACAAAAATTCAGGCCATGAAAGATTAAGAGATCACAATATAAGATCAGTTACGGACCCTTTGCAGTTACCCCTGTCCATTTCCAAGAGGGCAATTTGCCTGCTGAGTGTAAGTAATGAAGGAACCCCAGACAGCTAGTTAAGGTCACCCACCCATAGCCCAGTGGCAAGAAAATGCAAGCCATATTGTCCGACAAAGTGCAGTAGTTGTTACCGGTGATTAAATAAGCAAAAGAAACCAGCACTAGTGGACAATAGAACATCACTATTCCAGCTAAGAGAGTTCCAATAGTTTTCAGGGCTTTCTTCTTCACAGGGTGCGTATTCTCCAGACCTGGGCCTGACGTCTTCAAGGCTCTCACCATGAAGAGGTTACAGAAAACCATGAGCATGAACATAGGAGGGATGGAGAAAGCTACGTACTCTAAGGCATATCTGTAGACGGTGAGGCACATGAAGAGGCACAGGCCCAGACAGCCCACCGTCACCACAGCACAGCCCACCAGCCTGGCCCTGCTTTCTTTGAGCAGCATATAGGTGAGAGGGTGCAACACAGCCAGACAGCGATCGATGCAGATGCAAGAAAAGAGCAGCGGTCTCACAAACAGGTTCAGCCCAGAAAAGAAATATGTGGTGTATATCATCCAGGGGTCATTAAACCAGTAAGACAATAAGTCTAAAAACAGACTAAAACAAAACAATGTGTCGTTCACAACAAGGAGGAAGACAAGTATTTCAGAAGGGGAGAACCTGCTTGTTCTTAGAAGCCAAAGGACAGCGATATTGGCTGGGAGACCCAGGAGTATCGTGATAATGTGAAAAGTCAACCAAAAATGGATCCCAATAGGATTATGGTCACAATTCCTGTAGAATATCATGCATGTTTGGTTGCTAGAAAGAGATTTGAGAGTGGAGTTTGTGAAGAGGTAATCCATCACCATTCAGAGGGTTGACACACCAGCCTAGAAGGAAGCAAAAAAGTATTTTAAAAGTAACACCGGATAAACAATATTTAATAGAACTGCGGGTCTAAAATATGATTTTGTTGTTTGCCTATGATTCTGCAGAATGTCAAATGGGTGACAATAACCTTGATGGAAAAACAAACCTGATGAAAGGCTACAGCCAGGAGTAAAATATGTCATTGCCATTAATATAATAATCTAATAATATTTAAAAACTTGACCTCCTACAAAAAAAGTCCTATGGAACTAACAGCGCTAAAGCAAAACAGTCCATCGAATAATGCAATGCAGAGCTGATCAAAATAGTAGGAGTTCAAACTAATACAGTCACGAAGTGACTTAAGTCAAGTGGTCAGTTCAGAAAAACTTTCAAAACAGGCTCTGAAAGCTTTAAAATGTAAAAGGCTGAATTTGATTTAATTTGAACAAAACTGCTGTGAACCTCCATCACACCCTGGTCTGAAATGAAAAGTAAAATCAAAGAATAAAATGTAGCAGCAAAGACTAAAACATCAAACATGCTGACAGTCGACTGAAATGTCGGGTCTGCATAGTTTTAGTTTAAGAATAGCCGTTTATATAGAGTTTGTGCAGCTTGATACAGGATTCTAGTCAATTACAATGTGCAAGGAAAAATTTACCTTACAGCCTTTTCTTTATGCAGTTGTAAGGTCCCGAGATGTCGGAGGAGACCTCTATTTGCAAGAGCAGGTTGCAGAGAAGAAGCTTCAGGTGGAGCCCAGCAGTATTAGTGCAGTGATCCAAGCTTTGATTGCCAATCACCCAGCTGTACTGCAAGACACTTGAACAACATCTATTTTATTATCTCGTTGTGACTAATGCAAGCCTACTGAAAAAAAAACCACAAGAAAAATTTTCCACTGTCATGGACATCACAGCAATGTTTGTATAACAAACTGGAATAAATAACACAGTCCCAACACTGAAGAGATGCCCTATTTGAATGTCCTCCCAATTTAGTCTTTTGTCATCAGCTTTATAAACAGTGAAATATAAGAACTCATCAAACTCCTGAAGTGAAATTTGTTTAAGGTGAAATGTGCAACCATAGGAGACTCTGGTCAGATTTGCATACCTCATCTGTATTTCAAAGAGAAATAAAATGTGGT